CATTATGCGAGGAAGAGAATGGCGCTGTTGGTGGAAGTTCTATGCAGAACCTAAACTTGACTTCATTCCTGATGTCACTTCATCGGTGTCTGTGAATGGAGTGCGGCTTCGCTTCGATGTGCTGCTGTGGTGAGTGGGTGTGCATGCATGAGTAGGGCAGTGGAGTGAAGGGGAGCCGTAACGGAAGCTGCGCTGAGCATGTATATTGCAGCACGCACATGTTACTTATTTGTAATTCAGTAGAGCACAACTTTTGATTATTATTATTATTATTATTATTGTTATGATGAAATAGAATCGATTAATATAGCACTATTGAGCATGTTTTCATAAAGTAATGTGTGATCCCTACTTACTAATGGTGCGTTGTCAGTAGTGGTGAATATTATGCATACACACATTTTTCACAAGGACTAGAGCTGATCAAAACCTAATATCATTAAGAGCTAATTTAAAATACGCATTAAGATGACAATTTCCTTATTTTTAACTCCTTAGATTTAACACAAACATAAAGCAACACTTTGATCTCCACATAGTTATAGTTTGTTGGACTGCTTGCATAATGTGTGCTCACTTTGGAAGTCACTTTGCTTCTGCCAAGTAGGCTGGCCCACGAGCTTATGAAGTGCAATTTCACTTCCTGGGGTTGTGTGATGCCACTTACACTCCTTGCCTGCCTTTAAATCGCTGATCTTCTTTGTTCTGGTTCCGAAATTAATTTACCCCCTGCCCAATCACTATCATGGCCGCATCAGAGGCAGGGTGACCACGTATCCCCTGTTTTGTCTTTGATGGTCATTTGTAGTAAAAAGCGCCCATGAGGACGTACTGAGCCTCCATTTGGTCACATTCTACAAATACCAACACATCAACCGAAGCTATACTACTTGTTCACTGCACAGGTAGGTTCAAAATGACCATCCTAGACATCCCTCACTGTTGATCATTGCATCCATCAAATCAGGTAACTTTGTTTGTCTAAAGTGATGACAATGCCACTGTATTGGCTAAGTGAAGGGCTTAGGCTGGTGTCGTGTTGGTACGATGGACAGTGCGACATTGGCACGGACTGGTAACTACCGAAGACACTGAGTTCATGCAGTCTATAGGCCCTGTTTCCTCCCTTAAACCCTGAAGGAGGTCCAATTCATCTGCAGTCCATTCAAAGACGAGTCCAGTGTCACAAGACTTTGCATTTATCGCATAAAAATGGACTTACTGCAAACCAAACGATGAAGTTGGATGATCAACGAGTCAAGCATCCAGACAGGACGCCTTCTTTTGTCCTTCACACAAAAGAGGAGTCGCAATGTGACACAGCACAGCGCAGTCCTCCTCCCAAAAAAGCAAAAAAAAAAAGAGCTAGTGACAGTGA